TATATCTCAAGGTGGATTTTTTCCGTCTATAATTTGGAGTGAAGGGTGTTGTTTGGGCCTATAGGATTCACCACATATCCTATTTTAATCATTCGAATTGTTTATTTTGTAAAGCACTTGGTGTATATCATCCACACACAAAATTAAGTTAGTCCCATAATCATAACATATTTTATTTATCACGTTTGTCACAAAAAAAGGACGACAATTGTGTTTTTTTTTATAAATAAAATATTTTTTTTGGTGACAAACATTATAAATTGAATAAATTACGATTATTGGATTAATTTTATTTTTCATTGATGATATACATGACGTGTACGATAAAATGATCAGTTCATATTATCGAAATAGAACCAATAGTGAGCCTCACATGCCCAAACAACGCTTTCTAATCTACAATCTAGACTAGTAGGAATCAGGGGCGGAGGGAAGGAGGGCTCAGCGGGGTCACGTGCCCCCCCTGAGTTTTGGATTTTTAAAATTTTTTTTTTACAAACATAAAAAAAATATTTTATATAAAAATAAATTATAAAAATATTATTTAGAGTGAAATGTCAATGATATTTTTAAAATTATAAGAACAGTAATGATTGTTTTGATTGAAAGTAAAGAGACTACGATATTACTATCTATGAAAATTTCAATATAATGGTGATCTCTATCATTATTGATATGCAAACATAATTAATTTCAATGAAAATATAGAATTTATTGAATTGTTAAGTTACATTTAATATGCAGGGTTCTTTATTATTGGTTGGTAATATCACATGTCAATGATTGCGTGGTATGACTATTATATTGAATTTTTACGCATATTTTGTATAAAAAAATTACTTTATCATTATATAATTTATTTTAAAACTTTATATCCATGACTTTTTTAATGTTGTTCATGATACACTAATTACAAACAACGTATTCACTTTGTTTGGTTTGAGTTTTCTAAAAACACTTTTCAAAAGATTCTACGTTTTTGTTTTTCGTATTTTTTTTTGTTTTTATTGATTTTTTTAATATTTTAAGAAATTTTTTTAATTTTTAGACACACCTAATATAAATATGCTTAAAAAATATAATTTTTGCGAAAAAATCTTTAAAAAATTCACTAAATACCAAAAATATAAAAAAAAATACAAAAAATCAATACATTTTTCGCATTTTTATGTATTTATTAATTTTTTAAAATATTTTTTCACAAATATTTTATTTTTTTTAGATACATCATGCATCTAAAAAAGTAAAAAAAAAAAATTGCTTAAAAATTTTAAAAATATTCACTAAAAATAAAAACAAAACAAAACAAAATAAATAAATAAAACTTAATTTTTAAAAAACTTAATTTAAAAAATTCAAACTAAACACACTGATTTTTTTTTTAATCTTTCTTGAAGTTAATCATAAAAATTTATGTGAAATATTTTTGTAAATATTTTTAATGTTGTAATTAAGAAGTGCCCCCTTCTGATTTATTTTCTTGGCTCCACCACTGGTAGGAATCCATCTCTATATATATTGTATTAAATGGATTTTTCATGTAGAAGTGGTCTTTAACGTCATCATTATATTAAATATTTAATATTTGGAGAAATTATCGGTAAATCCCAAATTAGAGAATGATGATTCATTTAGTCATGTGTTTTTTCTTATGAATCATTTGGTCTTATTTAATTGGTAAGGAATATTTTCCTTTGATTTGGTATGGGTAGAGTTTACACATTTACCCTTGTTTTAATTTTGGTGATTTTTTTTGCTCATTTGTGTGTAATGATTCCATATCACTACCAACATCCATACACTCAAAAAACAGGAGAATGGGTGATACATTACAACACAACAAATCAAAAAAATGATACTGACACTACACTTCATTAACATCGATACGGTTAACGTTACATTTTTTATTACCACAAATGTTATTAACATTTCATATCACCACCAACATTCATACACTCAAAAAATAAGGGAATGGATGGTACACTACAACACTACAATAAACCTAACACAACAAATGGCATTAACATTACACTGTTGTCAATCCCTATCATGTTAGTTGTCACATTAACACTAACACGATGACAATCATACATGTCCCAAATCTGGCATAACATTCAACTAGGGGACACTACCGATGTACGTCAAACCCCCTAACATCGACCACATGAACAACAACTTTGTGCACATACGAACACCTAAACCATTACAACAATCATCACACACTAGCAAACAGCATTACAACAACATTTTCATTACCCGTATGCGAATCCTAAAGATAAATTCCACATTAAGCATCAAAACTTACACACTACATATCTTCACATTTCTTTGTCATGAATCTTCGACAAAAACCCCGACGGGCACTACTATCCAATGCTGGGTTCGTACCCCCAATTTCATTTCTGAAATCATCGGCACAATCAACAATCTCACGTTTGCACAGATGTTCAAAGATTGTTGGGATCACTGTCTTAGTTGATTTGAGAAGGTAGGTTTCGACGAGGTGGTGTTTTTTACCCCAATTTTGGATACGAAATTGGATTTGGTGTGGTAAACACTCATTACCATTTGCAATGTTCCCGAAACCATACCTGACGCCATCGTAGAACAAATCCAACGCCGCCTTTGACACATCGATGAACTACACACGGCGGGAACCAGTCATCAATGTCTACCAAATCGATTACAACAAACGTCGATTCGTATTTTTAGGGTTTCAATGACCCAAATAACAATTTGGGAACTCAGAATGACGGGTTAACATTACCAAACCCATCAACATGATTGAATCCCATTTTCACTAGATTAACATTGCAAATCTATTGTTTTTACATATCAACCTCTTTCGTGATGATCGCAATTGTGGGAAAACAAAAACAACCTATTGTAAGCTTTATTGGGTAGAAATGTAATTTTAACATTGTGCAATCCCTATAATACCCACAAAATCTACGCGGTATGCTCTAACATCTCGTGCAAATATGTCATTTTATCTCCAACGGGACTTATCAGTCCATAAGATTAAACACAGGACTAAATGGTTCGCAAGGTCTTATTTTGGGATTTATTGGTGCATTACCCTTAATATTTTTGGTTTATTTTATTTATAACTAGAGTATTCTAATAATTAGATTATACTAATTGATAATAGAAAATTTTAATGGTCTATTTAGTTAACTGAAATGAGATGGAATGATTATTCCGTAGACTCACTTTCCAATGGAATAATTAATTTCTTATAATGGTAAATAATAATTCTCTTTGCAATATATATTTTTTTGAGTGATGCTATTAGTACCCCATCAATTATTTTGGACATCCTATTTTTTTAGCTCTTTTTTATTTTATTTTATTACAATAATAACCTCAAATGAAATTAATAAAAAGCATATCAATAATTTTGGGATACCCCATCTCACAATTAAGCCCACACACCCACTACATCGTGAGTTAGGGTTTATGAGAACACCCACCTCTATCACCACCTATTCATCTTCCCCAAATCCTACCTTCAAAACCTACCTACCCTCAAAACCTTGAAAACCCTTTGACGGCAATATTCCGGTGATAACGGTAGCAAGCATTTGATTACCTACACTTCTCCGGCAATGACAATAAGTGGAAGTTTTTCGACAATCTCAACTCTATGAGACAACTGGAGTACAACAATAAAACCTCAGATGAGATTCATAATTTTGATAGTGTTTTTAGCTCAGAGGAGATTGGCCTTGTAAAGGTAAGGTTTTTGAAAAAAATGACAAAAATAATAAAATCTATTTGTTAGTTTTTTGGGACTAAACTCCTGAACATATAACCGAAATTCAGGAATACATGCTCGAATATTGTTTATTTGTTCGGGAATAGGTAATCAAATATTTCTTATTTGTTCAGGAACAGGTAACCGAAACTCATGGAGATCGCAGAACCCACAAAAAGAGAATTTTGAATCAACAACAAAAAAAACCCTACATTTATTTTCTCAGATCATGGACAAGTATGTGGAGATGAAGTAGTAATCACTTCGTGGATTTTGTTATGGTTTTGGGAAGAGAGGCTTCTTGAGGTGTGGGGGTGTGCATTCAATTGAATGGGTAGAATATTTTTACAAGGATAATTTTGGTATTATTTGGGGGGAGAAAAGAAATTTTAAGGGTTTAGAATTTGTAAGTGGGGTCCAGAGAAATGGGGGTTCAAAATAATTAATAGAGTGCTACTTATTTTTTTTTTAAAATTAAAAAATGATATAGAATTCCATTTTTTAGACCAAGTAGTGTGTAAATAGATGATTGACTAAGGATTCGAGATGAGTAGAACATATATGAGAAAAAGAGAGTTTGATGAGATATTCTAGTAGGCTGCCAAACGGATTTCTTTTTGGGTTAGGGTAGTACAACGCTTTTTAATTAATCTTTTTAGTTAACCCAAAATAAAACTGAATATTTTGAAAGAATAATTATTTTATTCCAGTTCATTCTAATGAACCAAAATATTTTATTTGTTTTCTATATTTGAATAAGTTATCAATTAATGTTTTTGTAAATTAATTTATGTAAAGTTATGGAATTGTGTTTCTCTTCGAATTGAACAGGTTTTCTTTACAAGTATGACTTTTTATTATTATTATTTTTTTCTCATACAGAAAATTTGTATGATGATTTCCACTAACAGATCTTATAAAATTCTATTCATTTACATATTTTATTTTGTATTCCTATCAAAAGTAAATAATTTTAGAGGGGAATCATAACAACTATTATGAAATTTTTAATAAAATTAACAATAATTATAATTCAAAAATAAAATTACGTATATGTGTCGTATATTTTAATTGGTATATTAAATATTGGAATGTAAATCTTGTTTCTTGATTAAAATGTTTGTTGGTATATTCTGGCATTTGTGCTTAAGGGGCCACAAAAATATGAAACCTTATCTAAAACTGACCAATGGAGGGGCAAACTTTCACTCAAATTTACATCCAACACTATCCATCCACACTACTCCCTCCAACTCATACTCATAGTTTGTTTTCTGCATCACAGGAAAAAAGTGACTTTAAAATATCAAATTCATTTGAACTCAAAACACATTTCCCTTAACATAACTGATATATACAATCATGGTCCATTCATTAATCCCTGTACCAGGAGCTACAGCACCACCCATCTCAATCTCAACATCATCATCATCATCATCTCATTCTAATTCTATGAAGAAAGCCCATTTACCATCATCTTCAGGGTTTCACAGAGCCTGGGTTTGTCATCAAGCATCTTCTGATCAACCCCTACAGCATACAATTGTCTACCGCAGGTTTATATATGTATTAGTTTTTTTTATGTTTTTTATTTTGTCCATGTAACATGTTTTTGATTGAGGACAATTAGAGCTTAGTAAATCATATGTGACTGCATTTGATCTTTGATAAATTAGTAATTAATGGGAATGTATATATATATATATATATTACATGTGTAACTAATGAAATGGAACAAGAATTTAAAACATACTATGTTATATGTGAGTATAACAAATGAAATTGTGTGTGATGGAGTTAATGTTGCAGGAGTACTATTGCATTGGGCTTGGCTGGTGCAGTGCTGGGCTTGAACATTGGCAACCAGAGTGCAAGTGCCGCTGCTAGGAGGCCACCACCACCGCCACCAGAAGAGAAAAAGGATCCAAGTGTGAGTGGTCTTCAAGCCAAAATTTTGGCTAGCAAGAAAAGGAAGGAAGCCATGAAGGAAACCATGGAAAAGCTAAGAGAAAGAGGAAAGCCTGTAACCGGTCCATCTGAATAGTTTTTGAACAAACTCATTTACCTAAAAAAAAGAAAAAGAGAAAAACAAAATCATGTCTAGTTCCAAGTTCTACACCAATCTTCTTTTGATGGAGATCGGAGATTGAATATGCCTTCTAATAATGGTGAATATTGTGGAAAATTTCGGTTCATTTTGCAAAAGTGATATTAATTTGTAGAGAAGCATACAAATGCTTCATAGTCATTATTGTTGGCCTAAACTTCTCAATAATGAAAAGCACTGCACAGGAAAACAATAACCCAAAAAAAAAAATTTCAATTTTTTACTAGACATTATTTTCATTACATGTACTATAATTAATGTACTGCAGCAAAAAAAAAAAAAAAAAAAAAAACCAGAGAAATGGAAAAGGGAAAGAATGAGGGCAATTTTACTAGCTGAATTATTATTATTATTATTATTATTTTTTCACCCCATGGAGTATAGCCATCTTTTATAAGCTTGCCAAACTAGACAAGTGGCAGCAAGAGAGGACAAAGCAACAACTTAACCACCTCAACATTGAGGAATTTATTTTCAAATTTAGAACTGCCAGATAACCATGAACTAGAAGCAAATATTCTGTAGAAAAATCAGCAACAACCTGAGGTAAAATAGGGCCATCTATTTGAATTTGAATTATCTACTAATATTGTCTCCTTTAATTCAAACAACCACAACAACCAAGCAAGTTCCTTAGTTTGTAGAATTTTTCCATGAGGAAAGCCTTTGTAAAGATATCAGCAACTTGATCTTCTGTGTTACAAAACTCTAACTTCACTTCTCCCTTAAGCACAAGGTTTCAAATAAAATGATGGCAAATCTCAATATGCTTGGTTCTTCCGTGAAAAACGCGATTTCTGCTGGTCATTACAATGGTAGACTTGTCGCAAAATGTCACACTAGGCCCATCTTGTATCTCCTTCAAATCTAATAAAATACGTCTCATCCAAACAAGTTGACAAGCTGTTTTTGTTGCAGCTCAGCTTGTGAACTTGATAAGGCAATGGATTGTTGCTTGTTTGTTCCCCAAGATATCATTCCTGAGCCAAGGCTAAGAGCAAAACCAGAAGGCGTTTCGAGAAAACGTCGCTATATGTCAATCATTAAAAGTGTCGTCCAACTTGAATTAATACTATGCAATTTCATGTTCTCAATCAGCAGTCCGTTTAACTTAATGAGACACCTTGCCTCCTTTGATGTTGTTTTTATAGCTTATAGCGGTGTTTTAAAATGCTGTTAATTTTTGAATTTCGTCTAGTGATTATTAATCATATGGGCATTGATTAGACTCTCTTAAAACACCCACCCCACAACCTCTTCACACACATGGAGGTTGGGGATTGGGTGAGAAGAAAAAAAAAAAAAAGAAAAAAAAGGAAAAGTTGACCAATCAAAACTAAAGGGGGTCGAGGGGGTGACCCCCAAAGGGGGTCTCAACCTTTATTCTAATCATAGGGCATCAATAACAAGACCGACGGCCTTAGGCTCCAAAATTTTGGCTCAAAATAGGGCCTCCAAATTTAGTAAAGTGCTATATGCCCAATTTTTATTTTTTATTTATTATTATTTTTTTTAAGTACCAATTTAAAGGGCTCCAAAATATTTTATTGGGCTTATTTATTTATAAGTATGGTTTAACCCATATTTATTTATAAGTGTGGTTTAACCCATATTTATTAAAATGAAAATATATACAAAAAAAAAAAAAGTGTTTGGGACCCAAAAAGAACAATACATACAATACATTACTCAGTGGTCTCTCTCTCTCTCTCACACACACGAAGTGATGAAAAAGGAAACATATGCCAAGCAAGTATAAGGCAGGGCAGGCGCAGAGAGCAGCATTGAGCGAGTCGACGACTTACTCTCACTCTCTCTCTCACTCTCACACATACACTCCTCCTGTGACTCACCTCTCACACACTCTCTCTCTCTCTCTTATAGTAAGTCCTCGCTCTCACTATCAGATTTTATTAATTAGTGGATTGCCCTAATTTTTTTTTACATTCTTTCTTTATCAGTTAATGGAATAATAAATTTGCTCTAATTTTTTTTTACCTTCTTTATTTATTAGATTTTAGAGGAATAAATAGTTTTGTCCTAATTTTTTTACTTAGGTCTTTATCAATTTTAATTGAATAATTTTTTTCTAATTTTGCCCTATTTTTTCCCTAGTGGAATAATAAATTTTTTTACCTAGGTCCTAATTTGTTGATACTTGTCATTTTATGAATAATTTTTTTATTAAAAAATATATATATTAGAGGGGCTCCATTTTTATTTTTTCCTTTAGGCCTCACAAATTTCAGGGCCGACTTGATCAATAATATTCGAACCAAGATGTCGCGTCTCCTATGAGAATACCCTTGGGGCTTATCATATCTTATAGTTAAAGTACAAAAAAAAATACATTTTTTATTATAATTAGCTATTTTAGTTGGCATGTACAAATATTATATAAGATGAATACTTTCTAAAATTTACACTAAACAATTGGTTAGAGAGAAAAAAAAAAAAAGAAAAGAAAAGAAAAGAAAAAGAAAAAGAAATATAGAGACTAAGAGAGAGGAAAGAACTAATAATTAATGTTTGGCTAGTAATTAGTAAAAGTGAAGTTAGACAAAATAACTAGCTTGGGACGCAAAAAAAATCGTAGAGATGAAGCATTTACAATATGTTTGGCAAATTAGGCAAAAATAGTAATGATGGGGGAATTTGATAATCTAATTCAGCTTTTAAAGTAATTTTTTAATTAAACTGGTTTGATTACATAGATAGTATCACTTAAAAAAAATTAAGCCACACAATACATACAATACATTACTCAGTGCTCTCTCTCTCTCTCTCTCTCTCTCTCTCTCTTTCTCTCTCTCACGAAGTGATGAAAAAGGAAACATATGCCAAGCAAGTATAAAGCAGGGCAGACGCAGAGAGCAGCATTGAGCGAGTCGACGACTCACTCTCACTCTCTCTCTCTCTCTCTCATACATACACTCCTTCGGCGACTCACCCTTTCTCTCACACACTCTCTCTCTCTTATAGTAAGTCCTCGCTCTCACTATCAGATTTTATTAATCAGTGGATTGCCCTAATTTTTTTCTACATTCTTTCTTTATCAGTAAATGGAATAATAAATTTGCTCTAATTTTTTTCCCCTTCTTTATTTATTAGATTTTAGAGGAATAAATAGTTTTGTCCTAATTTTTTTACTTAGGTCTTTATCAATTTTAATTGAATAATTTTTTTTCTAATTTTGCCCTAATTTTTCCCTAGTGGAATAATAAATTTTTTTACCTAGGTCCTAATTTGTTGATACTTGTCATTTTATGAATAATTTTTTTATTAAAAAATATATGTATTAGAGGAGTTCCATTTTCATAGTTTCCCTTAAGCCTCACAAATTTCAGGGCCGACCTTGATCAATAATATTCGAACCAAGATGTCGCGTCTCCTATGAGAATACCCTTGGGGCTTATCATATCTTATAGTTAAAGTACAAAAAAAATACATTTTTTATTATAATTAGCTATTTTAGTTGGCATGTACAAATATTATATAACATGAATACTTTCTAAAATTTACACTAACCAATTGGTTAGAGAGAAAAAAACAAAGAAAAGAAAAGAAAAGAAAAGAAAAGAAAAAGAAAAAGAAATATATAGACTAAGAGAGAGGAAAGAACTAATAATTAATGTTTGGCTAGTAATTAGTAAAAGTGAAGTTAGACAAAATAACTAGCTTGGGACGCAAAAAAAATCGTAGAGATGAAGCATTTACAATATGTTTGGCAAATTAGGCAAAAATAGTAATGATGGGGGAATTTGATAATCTAATTCAGCTTTTAAAGTAATTTTTTAATTAAACTGGTTTGATTACATAGATAGTATCACTTAAAAAAAATTAAGCCACACTTAAAAGAAGGTTAAAATTTTCAGTCAAACAAGACCAACTTTTTTTACTTATCACTTAATGCGCTAAGTGAAAAAAATAAAAAAATAACAAAAAGGCATCGGGTGCTTTAGGTTTAGCAAAATTTATATAATTTTTTACTTATCACTCATTGTTTTCATATAATTTTATCTTTTTTGTGTGTTTTTTTTTGTTAAATTAGTTTTTATTTTTTAAAAATAAAATGTAAAAATAAAAACAAGTTGAAAGAAATAAGAGAGTGTAATGAAAGAAATAAGAGAGTGTAAGAAATCTCTTGAATCTATTATCTGACAGAGGAAGAGGAGACTCCTATTTATAGGAGCTATTGTTTACAACATCATTATGTTACATTACATAAAATATTAGAAAGTGGCCGAAATATAATTTTTTACTTATCACTCATTATTTTCATATAATTTTATCTTTTTTTTGTTTTTTTTTTTGTTAAATTAGTTTTTATTTTTTAAAAATGAAATATAAAAATAAAAACAAGTTCTGAAAATTTAATCAACCATGATTATAGATCAATTTTACTTAGATAGAGAAGTCCTATTGTATTTCAATTCCCAATAAAAAACCTATGGTCGTTGATGACGACGACGACGACGACAACAACATCAAAAAAAAAATATAAATAAATAAAAAGGAGGCGGATCAAGCCCCGAATTTCTTGTAAAAACCTATAATGAGACTACTTCACAAGTTTTAAGGCTCTCATTCCATCCATGAGTTTACATTTTACTTATTTTAGTTACATAAGTAATTTTTTTTTTCTATTGAATACAAAAAAAAAATAAAAATAAAAATATGCATATGTTAAATTTGTTTAATTAAGTATAATGACATTTTACATGCAGGATGACTTCTGATGATAGTGTGCTAGAGCTAATTGGAAAGATATAGAATTGTCTAAACTTTTCATAGATTTGTGTTTAGAAGAAGCTTCTAAAATTGGTAAAAATTGTGGTAGTCTTAAAAAAGAATCTTGGGATAGGATGAGGGTAACTTTTAAGCAACAGAAAATGTTGACGTTTCTCAAAAACAATTGAAAAATCAATGGGATTATCTGAAAAATAAACATGAAGTGTGGCCAAAGATAATCTTTAAAACTAGGAATGGTCATGATTCAGTGATTAATACAATAAATTGAAGTCCACAAAATGGGATGAGTACATACATGTATCGCTATCTTTAATGCTAACATATTTAAAAAACATAATGGCATTCAATAGATATGTGTGTAATTTTCAAATTTGTAGAGGCAAAACAAT